AGAGAGAGAGAGAGAGAGAGAGAGAGAGAGAGAGAGAGAGAGAGAGAGAGAAAGCCGGTGAGCTGGGGTATGCATCACCCAGGAGGCCCTCATGGGGCCAGGCCTGTAATTTCCCTCTCTGCCCCTCACTGCTCTGCACCACATCATGAAAAATGAGACCCAGGAGCCTATCTATCTGCCAGCTTTGGTTTAAGGGGAGAGAGAGCTGCGGAAAGAAACTGCCATTTTCATTGTATTTCCAATCTATTTCCAGTTGCATTCTCAAAGGCAACAACAATAAAAATCCCTCTAACATTGTCATTTACTGATAGTCTCAAGTACAGACAGCAATCTAACAAATGATCACATTCAACAACACTTAGATATTAACTAATGCAGGAATATAAATATGTATTTATGAATACAACTGAGTGTATGTGTACACAGTTATGTTGGTATATAAACAATTTAAGTTAGGGATGAATTGTCAGGAATATCAACACAATCACTTTACTTATTTCATAATAGGAGTTTTCAGACCAATCTTACAGATCGTCAGATGGACTGAACAAAGAGTAGCACCAATTCTCTGCAAAGATGGTGGCCAGCCATTCCTTGTGGGCCTCGGTGTTTAGGTTGGACCTTCCATCAAGAAGAGCCTGGGGCCTGCAAGCTGGCTCAGCAGGTAAGGGGGGCTTGCCATAAAAGCTTGTCATCCTGAGTTCAATGTCAGGGACTCCCATAGTCATGGGAAAGAGCCAGCTCTTACAAGTTACCCTCTGATCTTCATGTTCACACTCTCAGGCACAGCATGTGAGCATGCTCTCTCACACACAACATACACACAAAATAAATACATTGATTAAAACATATACACATGTATGTATACACACGTACACACGTACACACACACACACACACACACACACACACACACACATTTTAAGAAGTAAAGCTGGCTGTGCGGTGGTGGCACACGATTATAATCCCAGCACTTGGGATTATAAGCAGGAGGATCTCTGTGAGTTCAAGGCCAGCCTGGACTACCAAGTGAGTTCCAGGAAAGGTGCAAAGCTACACAGAGAAACCCTGTCTCAGGGAGAGGGGGGAAGTAAAGCCTACTTCTCCCATTGAATCTGGTTGCCATTTTTATTTGCTATGGCCTTAAAGAATTCTTTTGCAAGAGACTCTTGTAAGGTCTGAAGCTCTTATTTTTTTCTGTTCTAAGCACCTCAGCCATCAACTGATCAAGTCTAACTTGCTGAAGGGACAAACCAGAAAACCAATCCCAGCTCCACCCTTCTACCACTTGGGCCTTAACTCTGGACTCCAACAACCAGTGTGCCAGACATGACAATGAGAGACCGTCTTGGGTCTTCCAGAGCTAACCACACTTCCCACCTTAACACCATTTGGAAAAGAGAAGAGTAGATGTCTGTGGCGATATTTTATTTGTGCTTTAATAAATAAAGCTTGCCTGGAGATCAGAGGAATAGGAACAACCATTATAAGTAAACAAAGAAGTCAGACAATGGTAGTACATGCCTTTAATCCTATCACTTATCAGGCAGGGACCTGTCTGGATCTCTGTAAGTTCAAGGCCACATTGGAAACAGATCCAGGTGTGGTGGCACACGCTTTAATTTCAACACTAGTTAACCATGGAGGTCTGGAGGTCTGTACAGACAGACAGGAAGTGACAGAGCTAGGCAGAAAGAGGAAGTGATGTAGCTGAACGCAGAGAGCAAATCAGATGGCAGAACAGCAAGGCACATAGATGTGGGTAGACAGGAAGTAACTAGCATTTAGAAGCTGCAGAGTTGGTGAGGTAAGGTTGGCTGGTGGCTTTCCCTATTTCCCTGATCTCTCTAAGGCCTTCACCCCTATATCTGGCTCCATGTTTTTTATTTAATATGACCATTTAGAAATTCATCTACAGATGTCTTTTGAACAATCCTGTCCGTGCTGACCAACAGGACTGTTCCATATCAATGCCAAGTCTCTCCCTGTGGGGTCTCCTCCTTGCCTCAGCATGGGCTGAGGGGAGTCCTCATTCTCCTCATTGCTCATGGAGGACATTGCTGGTTGACCACAGCTCTTTCCCGTTCTGCCCAGAGACAGCTGCCCAGAGCTCTGGACATTTGCCATTCCAAAACCAGCCATCACGCCTCGTGTAGCCAACTAAAAGGAGAGAGGGAGGTTGACTGCTGTAACTCACTAGCAGTCAGCCGTGGGCTGTCCGGATGGACCACATCAGAGGCCATGGAACCAGCGATGCGGAAGCCTGACCTGCACATCAGAAATGCTTGAGCTGCTTACAAAATGGTGCTCACCTCTGGGCCTCAGCATCGAACACAGCCCTGTTCTTTCTCCTTGGTGCCATTTGACTTCATAAGGAGGGACCTGAAGAGAGAAGTCACCACCCCCTGAACCCTGCTGGGCAAACTAGTTTGACTGATGAAATGTTTGTGGGGTTCTTGGTCTATCTGAGAACTCCAGTATATTCAAGGACTCTGAGCCTCACAAGGGAGAAGAGAGCTCTAAAGGGCAGATAGTAATTAGGATAAGAAGGAAGGAAAGAGGGTGAGCCCCTGGTCGGGAGGCATACATTCCCTCATTTCTTTCAGGAAAAGGCAGCCAAGCCGGGGGTGCGGGGTGGGGAGGTCTGTGCCTGGATCCAGATGTGAGAGAAGGCATGTGCCGAATTCGGAGGATTTTTTTTTTCCTGTGGAGAATTTCTTAAACTTCAGACATGATTGTCAAAAAGAAGCACGGCAAGGTATGGAGCACATGGAAGATGTGTTTGACACAATCAGGTCAGCAAAGTTCAAGACGCGTTCCCTCGTGGCAAGCTTGGCAGGAATGCTAAAATACAGCCGAAGACTGGGACCCCCATGACAGTAAAATTTTAAGGCTTCATTTTTGGTAAAATATGACTTGCTGTCGGGTGCACCCGTTGGTAGCTTTGATGCAAATATGTAATAAATCTCACCTCTTCACTGAAATCTGAAGAGATTTTCTTCTTATAAATAAAAGCACGGGTGTGATAAAAAACGGCTTTTGATCATCTCACATGAAAGGTGTTAGAAATTGTCACACTGTTACCGTAATTAAAGTACCACAGAGTGGGGGAAATAACTCCACTTGCAGACCTCCCCCACCTGCCTCGATTTCAAAGATATTTTTGGTTGTTGTTGTTGTGGTTGAAAACCTCACTCATTTAACTTTGGTATAGTTTTGACCTTGTAGATGGAAAGAAAAGGTTTTAGCAAGAAAATTGCCTTACGGTTGAAACCGCTACAACCCACGGAGGACCCTGGCCTTTGCGAAAACGGAGTTTCTCTCCAACCTCCGCAGCAGGGATGTCCCTAAGAGCTTATTTGAGTAGTAGAAGAGCTGCCCAAAGGTCTCCTTCTCTTCTCTTCCTGTTGGTTTCTTAGGCTCCCAACTCTTAAGGTGAGATGGGAAAGAAATTGTTTAAAATGATTTCCTCCTCCTCCTCCTCCTCCTCCTCCTCCTCCTCCTCCTCCGCTCTTTTATACATCACAGTGTTTGTCCCCACAGTCACGGGCTCAGGCTGGCAGAGGGACCCCTGTGGCTCAAGCACATGCCCCGTCTACTCACACATGCTGGAGGATTGCCAGGGTGGCTTCCTTGGTAGCCATGGCTCTCTCCCACTTGCTCCTGTCTTGTCTGATCTGGGGTTAAAATAGTTAGACGCTCTGCTTTTTATTTCCACACCTCTTGAAATCACTGAGGAATTCCTTTTTGCATCCCGAATTTAAAAAAAAAAACCCAGCTCTTTAAGCGGGTGTGAGAGACTTTGCAGCCTGCTCCAGAGTTCTGGTACCAGCTTAACTTGCAGCCTTCACTCAAGCCTTGCTGGCCTTTTCTCTGCTCTGCCCATGTCTGACTTTTGTCCTGGTAGAAGTGACCTCTTCCCTCTGGTATGACTTCTGCGAGGTCTCTCTCACAGTCACCTCCTTTGGGAATTCACTCAGTTACTGGATCAACTCCCCCAAGTTTTAGCGACAGTTATATTTGATATTTAGCCTATCCCAGCTCATATTTTCATTTTATATGCATGCTTTATTTTATTTTCTGGATAAGATTTCTTATACAAATGACCAATTCATATCTTTCACCAATTTCTCTATTGGACCACTTATCTTTTTCTCCAAGGAGTTTCTTAGCTATTCTGAATACCCACTCTTTGTTTGAAATGGTGCAAATATCTTTTCCTAATTAGTTCAATTTCTGCAAATACTTTTATGGCAATTTCGTTTGACAGAATTTTAAAATGTGACAAGGCAAAATTGAAATACTTTTTCCTGTAGGTTTCACAAAGGTTTTCCCTGAGTCACGTTCTCTATGTTCCTAGGATGTTTTGTAGCTCTGCATTGTGTGTTTAGCTTCAGTCCTTTGGGACTTACATTTTTGAATAATTAAAAGTAGTGATGTGGCTTAATCTCTCCAAATGGACAACCGTCTGTCCTTTCCCCAATGATGTGACATTCCAGATGTGGTACGATGCATTCCCGTATCTTCACGGCTCTACTGCTAGGCTCTTCTTTCTATTCTATCGAGTTGCTTTTAACTCCTTATACCAATATAGCAATGTTGTGTTCCAGATTGTGTTTTTGTTTTGATATTGTGACAGACAACGGCCAGGTTTGTCCCGCATCAGCTCCTCTTGGTGGATGAATGGTTGTGTCTGACATTTTGAAAATACGGGCTCAAAAGGAGAGAACATGCTCTTTTCCTCTTCTCGAGTAGTCCAGCAAAAGATGGACATGAGGAGGGATGGTGATGAGAGCCAGGCATCCCATATGGCCTGTTTGTGTGGTTTTAGTGCCTCCAGGCATGTGGTGCCTGCTCATTGTCATTTGCTTGTGTTTAGTGCAGCAGGGGGGCATGATAGCAATGTGGCAGAAATTGAACTTGATCGTGGTCTGGATAGTGTGGCTTGTAAAATCATCCTGGAGTTTGGCAGTTTTGTGGCTGGGGACTTCCATGCTGCAAAAAAACTCTGTGGAGGACTTCCCATGGCCTGGAAGCGGCGGTTCACCATGGCGGGCACTCAAGCTTAGTACTCACGATAGTTAGGGAACACCAAAAATGCTGCCATGCTTAATGCCATCGTGTGTCATTTCAGGTCATAAAGTGTGTGTTCTGTGTGTCCTCCTCACTCACCCTCAGGCCAGCTTCTCCAGGTCTGCTTCAGAAACTGGGAACAGCGTGTTCTCTTTCAGAGCTCATCCCAAATGTCCTTAGGTAGTCTGCCTTTCCTCTCTTAGAGGAATGTTAGACTGTGTTTATAGGGCCTTTGGAAAGTCCAGCTGTGAACTGATCTTGAGCCCATGGAATTTATAGAGTGACTTGAGGACAGCGAGCATCTTTTTAAGTGGATTCACAAATACTTTCTTTACTTACTTGGGCTTTCCTGTATATCTTTTGATAAAATTTTATCATTTTTCTTCTTCAGTTGGAGCTTGAGTATTTGGAGATGTTTGGCGGTGGCAGTGTTTTCCCGAGTGGGTCTTTTTCATAATGTTTTGTAGCACTTGTAGAGGAGAAGCAAGCTGGAGTGTTCACATGTTAACATCATGTTCGACCTTCTAACT